ATTCAGCAGCTTTCTTTGTTTAGGTTTCCTTGTTATATTCATGCAGTCCTTACTAATTGAAAAGAAGTATTTTGCAGAACCTTGGGCGACTTCTTATGGATTTTCTTTACTTCTTTGGGTCAGTCAAAATTACGACTGCTTCTCTTTATAATGCTGTTGGTTACACTGACAGATATCTATCGCAAGAGAGAATATGACGATAATTTGTATGGTGGACTTTTCTTTTTATTATTTTGCAGTAACGTGTTTGATCCTCGCCAGATGCGTGTTTCAGTGCAAGGAAGTGGCATTTATAGGAATCGGGAGAGGGGTTATAGGTAAACATCTCAGCTCTGTCAAACTACAATTGAAATACTTAACTTCTATACCTTATGTTATTCTCTTGTTTTTGGTTGTCTGCTTATATAGTATTGATCCAATACACATTGATGATCCTCTTTTTCCAACAAATAATGTCGGGAGAAATTGTTTCCGTATACATCAATGTATTAAGGTAAGGTGGATCCTATTTGCTTCTAAGCAATGCTTGTGTCCAACAAGTGCAGCTATGAAGAAGTTTTATGAAATGAAAGACGACTTATTTTGCAGGCATTTTCCGAAGCTTACTCTATTCTGGAGAATGAGCTGACATGCATTACAAGTTCAAGTGATTCATGTGGAAAACAGCTACACAATTTGCTTCCGAAAATCATCCCAAGTATCATTTCACCATAGGAATGGAGAGTGATGATGATTTGTGATCCGAGGCTGGGAAGCTTACCCCTAGAGTGAATCGGAATGGTTATGGTGGTGAAGATAGATATGATTGCACAAGTAATACTAAATGGTAAGTAAGAGAGCAGTTGCAAGGAATGCATTCCTGTGAGACAGTTGCTTATAATGGGTGGTAATCTCTAGGATGTAGGGTGATGAGAAAGAGCAGAGGCATGTCAAGTGTCAGCAGTGGGACGGTGTATCTTGCAGGAAAGAAGCATATATGGTTGTGGCCGAGCAGGGAAGTCCAGGTATATATGTATGTTACAAAAATATTAAGTTAAATTATCCTCTTGACATCAAATTATTGATATCCTCCTTGGCAGTAATACAGTATATAGGAAGGTAAACTCCATGGAATTGAGGGAGGATAAGCAGAGTTGATTTGGCTTGTTTAAGTAGAGGAGGAAGATGTGATTTTTTACCTATTCGTTTGTTCTTCATTTCTGGGTAAATTATTTGTCTAAAACAGCACAATTATCTCGGTTCAAACTGAAACAGGCTCTCTAGGAACGTTGGGCCTTTTTTTTTGTCTCGGTTCCAACTTGGAAGGTTAGGGTAGCGACTAATCCTGTTAGAAAAGTGCGTTTCACTTTCATTTGTTAGTGTAGTGTGAAAAGAATCGCATTTCACCATCTTCCCATTTGACTATACTTTCCTGCGATTCCTACCACACATGTCACATATACACATCTAATCATCTCTAGTATTTATGCATCTCAGCCTTTTGCAACACAAGGCTATGTGCAAATTTTCTATTTAAATGTATAATACATATCTTAAATGAATCATCATATTTAAAACAAAGCATTATCCGTCAACTTCGCAATTAGCAAACCAAAAGTATGGTTATTTAGCTCTATTATCTAAATTAAATAAGATCCAAGCGCTTGTTTAATAGTGAAAGGACAAATGCGATCTTTATTAAATAGAGAAGACAATATATATAAGTAACAAAAAGGAGGGTTTGTGGTCATGGCAATTGATTACTACGTAAACTTGGCATTTTTCTCATGGATTTTAAGCTCACTTTTGGTTATTAAGAATTGGATTTTGTTCACAAACGTGTGTGGTGATAGTCAGGGCCAAGTTGAATTGTTAACACCCAATCATTTACACCACCCACCGTTTGAAAATAATATATTCGCTTTCCTTTTTGTTTCTTGTAGCATAATATTATTATCATCAAAATTATTGTGGAATTTTGCAGACAAAGCATATGCCACTGTCTCCTCCATTTTGCCTTTTCACTTTTTTTTTTAGTGACATAATTAAATTCGTGAAAACGAAGGATTAATATCTACTGCAGTACAGGGAAAAAGGGAGTTCATAATTGTGGGTTTAAAGCGAGGTTACGAATTCTCTCAAACGAAATCATTATTTGTTTGGTCGACATGCAATTACAAGCACAACTTCTTAAAGAAAGTATATCATAATTAATGTGTAGCCCTATGCAAATAATATATGATGGAATATGTATGGTGACTTGTGAGTAACACATATATAGACCTAATTAATTAAGATGGAATCATTTTGGATTCGAAGGAGGAACTTGTTGCTGCATTTGCTGATATAATGCAGCCATCCTGCTATAGGCTTCAATCGTAGCTGGCTGCAATTCGAAAGATAAATATAGAAATGATTAGCAATTAGATGCATGCACGTAGAGATAATGAAGCATTGATTGTACATATATTATGTATAGAAAAAAAAGAGAGAGTAGTCGTAACCTGCGATGAGCATGCAAGAAAGGCGGCCATAGGGTCACGCACGAGAGGAGAGTGAAATCGAGTGTCGTTGGAAGAAGAGGCATCCCATGACGGAGGAGGCATGGGCACAAATGGGTTTGGTATCATGTTGGCATGGAGATTGGGAGTTCGGTTCATGGAATTAAGGTCGAGGAGACCGAGACCGGGCATACCCATGCCAATCCCTAAACCCATGGGATTGGACATGAGAGACAAG